CCCCTATCTCAGTTTTTATCTGAGTTGTACATTCCCCAATCACTACTGGAAACACTGGTAGACTAGCGTCAGGATGAACCAGATCCAGTTTTAATAGGCATAAATGCCACCCTAACATTTAATATTGCATGTGCTGTGACACTGGCACGGAAGCTTGCCGTGTCAGAGACCCATATCACAATGGCTATCTGAAACTGCAGCTATTTTGATCCCGTTCTTCCTTATCTTGGTCACCAATAAAAACTTATCATTTATCTGGCTTCATGGTCTACCACGCGTCATGCGCAGAGGTAGGTGGAAAACCAGCTTCCTTTTCATGCCTAGTTTGAGGTTCCTGACCTATACTATTATTCAGGTATGCTGTCTGGCGAACTGGGCTAGTTCGCATTAGAACATACACCGACGTTATAGCTTGTGTGACATTAAAGCCTCGTTTTGCATCGATGTCACCCATACTGAACCTCCAACGTTGGAGAGAGAAAAATCATACACAGCAAAACTTTTCACCTTCGAGCGTTCCAACATATGGGGCCCAAGAATCTTTCACGCCTGGAAAACCCTAACCACAGAAAATAAAGTACTTGAGGCCCTACCCATGCAGGCTAAAGCGTGTTATACCTTCAGGAGCATTTTGTTATCTCTCGGATGCTTATTTCTGCGGTCATGACGATGGACATATGCGGCTTATCGGCAGTAAAGGTACATGTATAGTGATGCATAAAATGAGCTAAAATTGGTTAATCGCACATGAATTGTCTAAACATTGTTGGGGCTTAGTGGCTTATTCGAGTCAAATGAACACTAAGCTGTCCTGGCTTATCTATGTAAACTAGACTCATGTAGTCTCGGGACAACATGCACAACCGCTTGAAGTTAAATGATTTTGGGGACTTTACTTGTACAGTGGTTCCTGCGACCAACTAACCTCTGAAAGCCACACACGGAGCTCTTTCGACCATGGTCTAATTACAAAGAGCCTGGTACTTTTGCGCAGGCAAAAGCTGTTATGGTGCCTTACAAGCGTTTCCCTGCATTTCATTTACATGTGTAGATTTTATTGCGTAAGCTTGAAAAGTGCGTTTTGTGGCCACTGCGTCGCACATCGTAAGTACAGTTATTTTGAAGCTATATTCCAGGTTCCAGCTGCGCAGTCTATCAAGATCCCATAGCAATGAGCCACAGTTTATAATTTTTCTTATTTTCACCGTATATACTTAAAAAGGTAAACGGCATTGGTGGCAAAATATTGGGCTACGGTATTGGCAAACGCACCAGCACTCCGGAAATACTGCAAGTATTGTTCTTATCGTGTACAGCAATCAAGCGATGTTCTGACTGATAAGCAGTTTTGGTTTAGCAGCATTGACGCTACAAAACTGGTTTTTACCTTTGACTGCGAGTAAAGCCACCTGAGTTTGTTGCTCGAGGTCTTCCGTTAATCAGATATATTTGTTATATTCTACCTTTATGCTCTCCAGCTAATTACGCCGAAGTGCCGTCCGCCTTTAGAAGATATTTATTTTAAAACATTTTTCATTAGTTTTTACTAGAAATAATTACAAACCGCTTTTTTGACATTTCTGATGTCGTCGCATTTCTTCTTTCTTTACATGAGCCTACCATTTATTGGGACCGCAATTTACCGAAAATGGCTAATGGAGCTTCAATAATTATCTTTCAGAGACCGTTCGTACAGCTTTGTTGCAGTACGCGCGCTCAAAGAATACATAAACTTAACTCCATTTTTATCCATGCAAGAGCTTGCGCTTACTCTATATTATGCTCTAAGCCCCCGAAGGCACAGCTTCTAGCCAAGTCTAGAACTTTAGCTTTATTTATTGCGTTAAGTATTCGAACTTCGCTTTGCTAAGATACAAACTTGAGAGCCGGTTTCTCATTAACCTACGTGACTAAAAGCGGGCATTGGTATTTGCTAACATACTTTCTCAGCCTTTTGTAACTCAGAAGGTTGTGTTCAATGCCACCAAGTTATATCAGTATTATGTTAATGGTTTTCAAGTGCAAACGTTCTGGAACATTATACACCACTACCTGGTTATGACGTTTTAGACTATTCACCACCTTAGTGTAAATCGTGTTGAGGAACCTCTCAGTCAACTCCGCATGCATGACCTCCATAATGTCCTCGTGGTAAACCATAGTCTCTATGACTGCCAGTTTATCCTTTGGCGGCTCTAATGTGTCGAAGAGCATTCTGATTTTCACTACTTCACTCTAAAGCTCGACCATTTTAGAACTAAGTGCAATAAGGTCCGTTAGGCCAACGATACATGGTGTAATTGTATCTGATGAGTACTTACTGATAAGGTTAACTTCAGCAAAGGAACGCCCTAAAAGCCTCAAATCCTACTTGGGTACGTAGAGACGATGTTCCCAGCCCATGTCGAAAGAAAAGAGTGATAGTAAAAGCTGTTAGATCTTCCCTTTTTCGCTATTCCGAATTAACCACCCAGAAATTTCTCCGCAGCAATTCTAGCCCAGCCGAAGAAAAATCAAAATTCCAACAGCCTTGACCACGAAAAACGTGTCCACAAAAACTCTGCCAACGTAGCCAGAAAATGCCGCCGAAAACACTGTCCTCTCAACTCTGAGGCAAAAGTCCAATTCGCCGGGGGTTTGAAAACGCATACGTCCACTCGATCGATCGCCTGATCGACCGCACGGGTAGGCGATTCCCTTCAGCCCAGCTTTCAATCATCATTATATATTTTCCCTTTATTTATGTTTTTATCTGATTCCCGGATAAAAGCTATGGCCAGCTAAAGTGGAAGGTTGATGATAAAGAATAATTGAATATCGTGATATAATCGACTCTAGGGACAACAAACGCCTTCGAATGCCTATACAAATTGGGAGCAAACAAAACGCACCTCAACACCGCAGTTATTAAAACTTACCCAGCGGCCAAATAATTTGTTGTCTTGAAAGAATACAAGTTTCCAGAGGTCTGAACAATTTGGTTCAGTTCGGCTAATAATATCTGTTTCGCATACTTCTTACCTGGAGAACCTCTGTCGAAGTTTATTGTCAAGATTTATACCAATTATTTGTACTTGGCCTCGGAAGATAGGTTCTCCTGCCTATGTAATGCCATTCACAATTGCGCAAAGCCTGCTTCATAGTAAACAATCATTAAGGCCAAAACAATTGGGTTCGGGTATTTTTCGCTATTGGTACTTTGCTATTGCATACCTCCCAGCTGGACTTATCGCGTTGATCGTTTAATCAGCCATCGACGCTCATATTTCTAATCAACATACCCTAAGCACATCTTTAATTTGTTTCCTGTGCCAACTTTTGCTTCCTTCCGGACCTGAGCAATTTGGATAGGCCTTCTTTAGCGCCTCAATAAACTCAACATGATATTTCATTGGATATCCCCGGAGACTTTGCGTAGTTCTACAGCCAATTAACACACCAAATTCAAAGCTGCGCAGTTCATGACCTACGTAGTAAACAGGCCTAGCCATTCGGTCCGAACAGTACAGCACACAGGGAGGTACCGGACTCTAGTAATATGCGTCAGCAAACGGGAAAAGTGGAGGCAACTTGACTGTTACTAGCCAAGCAAATAATTGCTCAACAAGTAGCATAACCCGTTGCAACTTGCCATTCAATGAATTAGCGGCAGTATTCCAGGACATGGCTGCTTTTTGCTTGGCAAGCATTGTCTCTATAGAAAGCGTCATAAGTCCGTGTAACAACACTACGACATGGCGGGTGTGACCCGCCAGCGAACAGTCACAGCCCGTGACTTCATAAATAATTAAATAGTTTATTATCTAATTCATCGATTCATACCAACTCAGATATGATCAAAAGTTACAATCAAGTCTTTGGCCCAACAGATACGTTACAACGCACGTAATTGGCTGTGGCCAAAGTTGTACAATTTGCAGAAGCATTCGAAGCATTCATGAGGAGCAAAGTCAACAGTGGAGTGCCAGTAAAACGGTTTCAAGTGTGCGTAGAGTAACTAAAAATAGCACAGTAGTTAGAGTTGGGACAGTATGTGAATAAAGAGTAACGCTGTTGTACGTGTCAGCGGAATATCGAAAAATGCCTAGTCGATATTCCAGTGTGTAACAGTGGGCAGTGACTTTATTCAGTGGCGCGACACATCCGCTACGTCACAGTGTTGATAAACGGACTTTTGTGGCTTTTTATAGGGAGAACGCTTGCCAGACGAAAACCCTTTTTTCTTATTTTTTCCTATTTTTTCATCGGTAAAACTGCTTTTAGAAGGCAAAATGTACGCTGTGCCAAGGAAAGCAAACGTTGCTTTACATGTTTACAACTGGTCGAACATTTCGGCAGACCCTTTCCGATGAGGGGGCCGAAGCAAAGTGCGCGGATAGGAACTGCGCGATGGAAACGCCAGGCGTCCCAGTCCTTGAGTTTCCAAGGGTCCCAAATAAGGTGGAACGTAGGGGACGGAGAACCTTGTCCAGAAGCTGGGGTGCGTTGCTCCAAAAAGAAGCATAGTGGTAGGTTCACATTACCACGAACGACAGCATTCGCGAGCATTTGTCTTTGCTTGGGGAATCCTGTAGTTAGATGCAGCATCGCTGAAGCCGTATCGACAGCTCGACAGATCGCAAAACCTAAACATTCACACACTGGATCTGTACGGACCAGTGAGTAAGTGGTTGCATCCATGTTTCTTTCGATGGGTGAAGGCGGCACAGCACACAAAGCAAGAAGTGTTGCACTCAAGCAGGCTAGTATAGTATCCACCGCGACACTGAGTGGCTTGAAAGGACGTTCAATGAGTTCTGTGGTTAAATGCATCAATCGGATGGCTTAATAAAAGTCGTCCTTTACATTTGTGGACGAAGAGCCACTAAGAGTGGCGGGGACTCGATGAGGCAAGCAATCAAGGAAATGTGAGACCGGATGCCCAACAGGGTCTTCAGGAACACGGGGAGGTAAACTGGTCCACGCGTTTGCCAACATTGCCATGAAGTAAGCCAGCATAGTCAGATCAAGATGATCGGGGCTTCATACTGAACTCGATCACGCGTCCCAAGGAAGGACATCGACGGAATAATCACTAATTTGTGTCTGAATACTTCTTGCGGTAAATCCTTGAAATTCCACCCCTGCGCTGTGCGCAAAGTGGTTTGGTCCAACATAGAAAGATTCTGGCGTACTCCTGGTTGTTCTGCTTTCAGATGGATTTGCACGACAACATGAGGTTTGGTTAACAGAATCTGTTCAACCAACAGAGCAAAACCAAGCCCTTGTGTCCAGCCCACCGTATTCACAAGCAGAGGAGGTCGAGGCTCCTGTAGGTCTTTATGGGCACCATATATGTGGACCAAGCATTGCAAGTGAAACTTGGGGTTGCCTGAGGGGCTGATGCATCCGACGAAACACTGACACATAGAAGCAGGATCTAACAGGGTTAAATGCGTAAAATGGAGACCGAACGGCGGGCGTCGAACGAGAGTGAGGCTAATCATACCATTGGGAGTAAACTCTGGCTGGCCAACAACACAGTCCAGAACAGCAATACAACGATCAAGTGTTGGAGTTGAGGGCTCCAGTTGGGCAGCAGTCATGAAGTAATTAATGATAAATCGGAGTAGAGAGGACTGCTCCGCTCCTTTGGGGCCAGCAATTAGAAGAGATGAGCTTCTGTTATTATGCGTAGCCTGCAAAGTATCGTCATCGCGGAAGGTGCGACTTCTTTCCCATAATTCAGAAAGCTTGCAAGCAACGCGGAACATATGCGGCGACGCTCGAAAACCCTTATAAGAATCACATTTAGAAAAGCAGAATCCCAAAGTTTTCATAGTATTTGAATCACATGGGAGACACTCTAAACCGTCAAGTTCATAGATGGACCGAAATTTCTTGATGAAACTGATGGACTCAGAGATGCGGCAAGCATGAGGGAAGAGAAGTAAAACGGAAGGATTTGTGTCCATTTTATCGACCAGGGTCGAAACGGTAGCCGACAAAGAATCAGCGAACACAGGCGCAAAAGTGGCCAGCATGGCCGAGCGAAGCTGATTTAGAGTTAAACATGAAATTTGTGAGCCGCTTTCAAATTGAGAAATGATGATGAATGCTTGCACATTTGGGGAGAACAGATGATAGGATTGTGTGCAGTCGGGCCTGGTTAGGGCTCCCAATATTTGCATCCTCGTTTAAGCGAGATGTGTTAACCTGGCCTTCCCGCGAAAACAGCAGAGCGTGTTTGGTGCGAGCAGTAAAATACCGAATGGAGTACTCGTACAAAGGGACCCATTTTCGTGACAGTATAATATCAAGCACAGCCCACTCGAATTTGCGTATGTAAGAATTTCGCCGCTTATATCTTTAACTTTCGGATAGCTATCGCTCGTAACTTGAGACATTGATATATTTGTGGGTGCAGAGTACCCTGATAGTGTCATCGTACTGCACAGGAACTTTTGAGAATAAATTACGTCATCGGGAAAGCAAAGACCACTCCCTAATTTGAAAGTTCGTCCATTCATACTGGCGAGCCAATAGGCGTCTCCTTTTTTACTCTTGAAACCCTTGTTAAACTACCGATTCTACGCCTGCTTATACCATCGTCACTTTAAGCTCTACGATCTCACCACTGAGTGTTGCGTTACGTACACACGAACACTGTATTTCGTCTCATCTATGTCTAACTTGCTTTTCAATCATCTTTTAATCGATCCCCCGGGTTGCTTAATCTATGCTTGGCTGATATATCACCGCACAATACGCAGATTGATTATGTCTTCACAAAGCTATCCTGCTCCCATGACAATGTTATCTTTTGTTTTAGGTTTATCCCATTTGTACCGTTTTAACCGTAGACATCTGAACAATTTTCTACTGTCTCTGTTACAACTGCCACAAAATGTGAATACAATTACATCTACTTGCTCATGCCTCCATGGGCTTGCCTCGCGTAGTCCAGCATAAATATTCATTGCCGTATTTCTTTACATTCGAAGGCGCACTAGTGCCGCGCAGCTTAGCCGTGAGGTCATGAATGTGATTAATAGGGCAGCGGTCGAGAAAGGTTATGTAACTGAGCCTGCGGTAATCACCGCATGAACGCCGGCCACCTAACGTTTTCGGGCACTAAGTGGATGGGCGAAGCCCATGGGCTTTTAGTCGGGCGAATAATGCCTATCCCAAGCCTGTGCTACAATTCTAAGCGGACGATCTTCAGCTTGTCGGTTGGCATTCGGCTGGCTTAGCGAATTCAGGCGGACCTTTGGTAACGATGTGATGGCTTGCAGTATAAGTTGCGGATGGCACCGGTGCCATTGCACGGAAGCCTTGCGGAAACTTGCTATTAAGCATCTTCCCGATAAGCAAGTTTGCTTACTTCAAGTACGCATTATGGTTGTAATGATGTTGGCCAAATTGCCTAAAGTTGCTAGATACTTATGGCAGTCGATCAGACGGTAGTGATTTGCGGCTAAAAGCAAGTCAAACTACTCAATGTATTGGAACAAATTAAAAAACGATCGTGGAGACATCATTTCAAAAAAATTGGTAAACGACAGGTTAATGTATTTATAATGATACACAAGGATTCTCATTTGACAAAAATGCTTCATCAGGCGAAGTGAATTATCTAAACATCAGCATTTTATAGCGATCATGGCTAAACTACATACAAAGACGAATCAATTTGCAGCTCATCCATGAATGATTACAGTGGTCAAAGGCCAATATGTTCGCGGGTACACTGTAGGTTGTTTCAGTCAGGGTCAAATGGGGGAAAGAAATTGCCGGTCCGTGGAGCGTTACACTGTGGTTAACAATCTTAATTGAACCGTTGCAGGGAACTTGGACACTGATAGAATTTGTCTTTAGTACTTCGGTGTTTGGCGGAGGGTGGGCCGATAGTTCACTCCGACTTGGGATCCATCCATCCATGCTTACAAAGTTGGCCGGAGTAAGACTGGACGCCAGGCATTGGACAGCCCTACTCCGTCTATCCTATTCACGCAGTTGTTAGCCTTGGTTATTTCTATAGCTTCAGCAATCAGCCTTTGTTTGGCTGATCTTAATCCCTTCCTGATTACCTCCACATTTTCGAAGTCAATTTTATGCCCCTTGTCTAGCGCATGCATTGCTATTGCTGAATCTCTGAGTAGAGCTCCATACTCTAGCTCATTTCGCGGAGGTCGTGATATGTGTCGCCTGTGTTCTGAAATCCTTGCACGTAATTCCCTCGTTGTTTGGCCTTTATACACTTGTGTACAATCTTTACATGAAATTTTGTAAATACAGTTAGTTGTTCTATCTAAAGGGTGTGTATCCTTCAGGAACCCAAGTGTGGACCGTAGCGTTTGACCCTCCTGGAAAACTACCCTTATCTTATCCTTATTCAGTACTCTCCGAATCGCTTCCGACGTTCCTTCTTTACACGGAATACGCACTGTCGCTATCCACTCTGCGGTTGGGGTTGCGCGTGGGTTGAGATATTTCTGTAGCTGCTGTTTCGCCAATCGTTTCGGATATCCGCTAGCTATTAAGTTTTTCATTGCTTCCCTCTGCGTTGCTTTCTTATCTTCTTCCTCCGTGCACAGAGCACTTGCTCTGCAAAATAGTGATGAGGCTATTCCCACGTACACGTGCTTTGGGTGGCTTGAACTATAGCTGAGTACCCCATCTGTATCCATTGGTTTGCGATACATCGTTGTTTGTAACGTTCCTTCCTTCTTATGTACCAGACAATCAAGGAACGGAAGTGTATCGCTCCGCGACTCAAGCTCCATAGTGAACTTTATCGCACTGTCAATAGAGTTCAAATAGTTTAAAAATTCTTCCTTTTTATCTCTTTTTATAATCGCAAAGGTGTCATCCACGTAGCGCCACCATACTTTTAGAACACCACGGAAATTGGGTAATGCTTTCTTTTCAAACTCATCCATGTACATATTGACTAATACGGTGGATATTGGAGATCCCTTGGCCAGTCCCTGTTCTTGAGTGTACATTCTAGACTGGAATGTGAAATGAGTCATTTCAAGACACAAAGCTATCCCCTCGCCCAGTATATCTACTGTCAGCTGACGGTAGTAGTCAAAATGTACATAGAATGGATACAGATGGGGTACTCAGCTATAGTTCAAGCCACCCAAAGCACGTGTACGTGGGAATAGCCTCATCACTATTTTGCAGAGCAAGTGCTCTGTGCACGGAGGAAGAAGATAAGAAAGCAACGCAGAGGGAAGCAATGAAAAACTTAATAGCTAGCGGATATCCAAAACGATTGGCGAAACGGCAGCCACAGAAATATCTCAACCCACGCGCAACCCCAACCGCAGAGTGGAAAGCGACAGTGCGTATTCCGTGTAAAGAAGGAACGTCGGAAGCGATTCGGAGAGTACTGAATAAGGATAAACTAGGGGTAGTTTTCCAGGAGGGTCGAACGCTACGGTCCACACTTGGGTTCCTGAAGGATACACTCCCTTTAGATAGAACAACTAACTGTATTTACAAAATTCCATGTAAAGATTGTACACAAGTGTATAAAGGCCAAACAACGAGGGAATTACGTACAAGGATTTCAGAACACAGGCGACACATATCACGACCTCCGCGAAATGAGCTAGAGTATGGAGCTCTACTCAGAGATTCAGCAATAGCAATGCATGCGCTAGACAAGGGGCATAAAATTGACTTCGAAAATGTGGAGGTAATCAGGAAGGGATTAAGATCAGCCAAACAAAGGCTGATTGCTGAAGCTATAGAAATAACCAAGGCTAACAACTGCGTGAATAGGATAGACGGAGTAGGGCTGTCCAGTGCCTGGCGTCCAGTCTTACTCCGGCCAACTTTGTAAGCATGGATGGATGGATCCCAAGTCGGAATGAACTATCGGCCCACCCTCCGCCAAACTCCGAAGTACTAAAGACAAATTCTATCAGTGTCCAAGTTCCCTGCAACGGTTCAATTAAGATTGCTAACCACAGTGTAACTCTCCACGGATCGGCAATTTCTTTCCCCCACTTGACCCTGACTGAAACAACCTACAGCGTACCCGCGAACATATTAACCTTTGACCACTGTAATCATTCATGGATGAGCTGCAAATTGCTTCGTCTTTGTATGTAGTTTAGCCATGATCGCTATAAAATGCTGATGTTTAGATAATTCACTTCGCTTGATGAAGCACGTCAAACTACTACAAGAAATCGAACCCCCTGATTTGCGTCTAAACCACGGCGGCGTAAATCGTGCTGTTAAAAGTGCGCCGCACGCTTAACTTAACTGCGCGTTGGTGTCGGCCGTACACGTGCATAGTCTTCTGGTTGATTGAGGGCACTGTCCTAGTCAACTTCACATTCGCGTCTTTTTATCCCTGGGTAGGAAGCTACCTTCTGCGCCAGTGTTCATTAACAGGGAACTACCTTTACTCAAGTGTTGCCGAAGTAATGGCCATAGATGTGACCAGCCAGGTAGGATAACTCGTTGTGCTGTGCGGTCCGTTCCCCTGTGAGTCCCGCGCAAAAATCTGGTTGGGCGTCAGCAGCCAGCATTCCTAGCAACTAGTCTTGGATACCAGCAATGTGTGTATGTCGTAGCCGAGGATGGAGAAGGAGACTTGGAACGCGACCAAACAAATTGTCTTCTAGAGCGATTTTTCATGCACGCTCTAACACTACTATTTTGTCCAGCCAGTTACTTAACGTGGCAACGGATTATACCAATAGTGCCGTGTTATCTTGCTGCCTTGACTGTTTCACACATCGGCCGTCGGCTTCGAAGTGACGGTCATCCATGTCAGTTAGCTGAGACCTAAGCAAGCAAGAAGCAGCGTACATTACTCTACACATCTTGTATGTGGAGGATAATCCACGGCACATTAAAAACCTAACCATTAAGTGGCCGGCTCGGCAAAGCTCTGCATCTTACGAAAGGTCAAATATATTTTCAAATCACCTAGCTCGGTTTCACTAAGCAACACCATGACGCGTTGTCTGCTGACATATAAGTTCCCCTTAAAACAACAGCTTTAGTCTCCGCCTAAACCTGCTGTGATCGGAAGGTTCTAGAACGTCGTCGGGATCATCGAAAAGCTGCGGATGAAGTGCTGCAACAATTTGGTGTAAATTATGATCCTCAGAGCTGACATGAAGTAGAGAAAAGATGCGCTCAATTTGCGCCATCCGGCTTT